ATGTTCCTTCCCCTCTGTGAAGCCTGAAGTCAACTAAAGAGCTAATGATAACCATCAAAACGCCTGCCATTTGATATAAATAAATAAATAAACGTCTCATTCCATAGATGCATATGTTATTTCATGCTAAAAGAAACGCCGCTTTAACCATGATTCGGTTATTTTATTCCTATTGTATCCAAACAATTGTGATCCAACTATACCCCAGTGAATTCGTAGGGCTTTTAAAGTGAGTGCTTCGCGTTCAGCAGGCGCATAGTTAACGTCAAATGACTAACTAATTCCTGTAATTTATATGATTTTCTGGGTAATGAAGAATATTTATCAAACAATCTTTTGAATATTTTAAAATAAAAAAACAAAGGCACTTAAATTAGAGTAGATGGCAATATAAATTTACATGAATGGAAAATCTACCAACTGTAAGGAACAAGTGATAACTCTTTTATTCATTAAAATAATATCTAATCCCGTAGAAGCTTAGCTGTATGATATAAAATATGTGAAAATATTGTCGCAAACTATCTGAGTAAAAGTTGAACTTTCAAAGTTATTTAATTTAATAATTTAGAAATCATGTAGCACCCCAGAGCAGCAATCATTCAATTTCTATGCTTACCGCTTGAGAATTTCAGTTAAACTTTACAATCTAAACTACTTCTGTAAATCCACCAAGAAATAAAGTAACCTGATATTTTTTTTCATTTCTCATAGGAAAAGTTTCAACTGTATTTCTCTCAGATACGTTCCTTCATCTCATCTCAAATTTTTTGTCCTGTTGAGAAAATTGATTCAATTCTTTTTTTACAAACTCAGGCGAGGTTATTGATTTCTGAATCGAATAATAAATGAACTTTATTGGGGATTAAGGCTACTTTAGTCAGAGAAACCAATAAGTTGCCAAATAGTCGAAGCGTGTAAAAGCAAAATTGAAGATGATTTTCATTAATTAGTTAACTAAAATATGCAATGTACATTTCTTATAATTAAATCTATTCTTAAATGGGTACTGAAAATTTTCAATACATTAGGTATTTACCAATGTAGCTTTGTGTATTATTTTCAATGAATTTTGAATTTTTATCAAAATACTTGGAGGGAAATAAAACGCTCATCGACGCCACGAAAACAAAGAAGGCGGTGAAATGAAAGCGTCAAATATTTCTCCCTTTAAAAATCGCCAAATTTCTTTCAATTTTCTTTCATAAATAAATAATGAAAACTTTTAGTCTACTATCACAAATTTATTGTCTGTAATTGAAAGTGAGGACTGAAAAATAACAATAAAAAATCTCTAATTGAAAGAATTAATTAATTGCAATAACTGATTTAACTTATTCTAAAATCAAAATAGTTGAGCTGTGAAAAAAAGTAAAATATCCCAAGGACATCGACTTCATGGATTTTCTCATTATCACTTTGTTATCGTATGAACTTAATCTACCATATTGAAGCCGAATTTTCACATCAATGAGTCAGAAACCACGATATTTTTATCATTTTTAGCCCAACTAGGCGGTTTCGAAATGCTTAGGGGAAAATAGTAAGCAACCGGCTGACAGAAGTTTGGGGGGGGGGGGGGGGGGGTAGGGAGAATTTTCGCACGTTACAGGCCACGCAATTTAGCCGTTATGAATGCATATTTCTGGTGATGGCAGCAAAATGATCGCCTAAAATACTTAACTACACGTAATTAAGGCAACCTCGAATTGGAATCCATATAATTTCGCATGGAACTTCTTCAGATCCCCATTTTGCCGAAAATGTGTGCCAAAAAATGTGGATCGATGGAAAAGCCACTCGCAAATACAATCTTCAGATTTTTAAGGTGTCATGAATCTGCTAAGTTATTGACACAGTACGAGGTTCAAAAGCCAAATTTTCAAATCGATGCAAAGGCCTTCAAGAACTCAAACGCATAATTTGAAGACTTCGCAGTTTAACACATCCAACAAAATTTTCGAAACAAAAATTAGTCTATTTTGTAGCTGTACTCTCCGATTATTTCAACTGTAAAATAATAAAGTACTGATCAAATTATTTGGTAGATAAATAAAAGTCGGCGAGTAAATTAAAAAGGGGAATGAACAAAATGGGCATTTGGTCATTTTAAAACGTTCATATTTGATCATAAAGTCCACAGAAACAAAAAATAAACAAAAATTTTAGCTTCTGACCTGGGTTACAGGAATGTACTTTTATATGCTTTTGAAGTTGACGATTTTCAGGTTTAGGTGATTATAAGGTGATTAAATAAACAGATGAATGATTAAAATTGATTAACCACACCTGATTATGATGGTTGTCAGTATATAGCGATAGAATGTATCCGAGGGCGATTTACGCCTTTGTGATGTAGTGAATCACAGGTCCGATGCCAATTAAGGAATATTTAGTGAACGAAATGGCCAACAGCATTGTGAATTCTTGCAGAATTCAGCGTTCTCTGACTCGGAATGTCTGGTGACATTCACACTCTCTGCGTAAGGTAAGGGGTAGGAGTGCCCATTTATTAGGGCATTTGGTTCCTACTTATACGTTACGCTAATGAAGCACCTTAATAACCAAACATCCAAAATGACTTTTTTATAAATAATTTTCTAAGTAGACTTGAGAGTCAATTTCTTAATTTAAACGTCTTTTGTTTGGCCGGAATTACTACTAAACAGGAACCTTCAAGAAGGTCTGGAATCATTACATTGGAAACAAATGATGAAATGACCATGGACGTAAGAAAATAGAATATTAAGGAGCCAAGTTCTATTGATCGTTGTTAACATTTAACAAATGACAAATAAAAGTATTGAAAATCAATACGAAGTCCAATGAAACACAAGCACATTAATAAGAAAAACCAACAGCTGCAACAAAACAGTCGTTACCAACTGCCCAACATTGCCTTTCACAAGGTCACAACCTTCACTGAATTTTATTATATTAATTAATTAAATCAATTAATTAACAGCTTGAGATTATTGTAGCTTTTAAAATGACACTATCGAATGTGATCAATTAGAGGCGTTGGTTATTAAAAATAATGGAAGCTGTTGTGTAAAAATTATGCGATGTTCTCTTTACAAGCGGCAGAATTCTCAATAAAATTTTTTTCCTCGGAATGTCCGTTGATTTTTAAATAATTAAGATGCTCATGCCTTTGACTGGCATTTTTTACAGGGAAGTAATTCAAAATTATTGAAATTCGATAAGATAGTGAAATTTACTAACTTGAGGACAGTAAAATCGAGATCGCTTCCAGCTCGAAGGAGTTCGGCTTTTACTTGGCTATGTGACATTCCGGTGAGGGGGGTTTTGCAGATCTTGACGATTACATCCCCAGGTTCGAGTCCAGCTCGATGTGCGATTCCATTTCTTGTAATCTGCAGCATAAATATTAAGATTTTAGCTATAAATTAGTATTTCAATACAATTTGTCAGCTGTTCTCTTAAAAGGGAACATTTATGAGATTAAAAGCGGTAATTACGCCATATACTACGTGATGGTAATTTTAACCAATGGGAATTGAGATTCGAAGTCAAACCCATAATTTCCGTAATGTATAATCGAAATGCATGCGAATAAAATTTAATGCTAAATATTGATACCGATGAAATTTATTTTTTCTTATGGAAGTGAAAATTCACCAATATAAATTCAGGTACCTTTGGATAATTTCGTTCTAAATAAATCCCCGTTTTTTATCTTAATTGTGGTTTAATATCACCGTTTCTTAATTAATAAGTCCATATATTACATTAATTGTTTTATCCATTAGTGCAATATCTGATCTTAAAGTTTCGACGATATATTAATATTTGAATTAATTTCAAACCACCAAACTGAGAAATAATAAGTATTAATTAATAATTAGTTAAATTTATCGTCCAATACTTTTTTCCTTAAAATTATTCTCGAGGAGTTACGCTCAGATAATCTAATTCACAAATCACGGTTAGCTTTTCATCTGCAACTAAATTCCACTGTTGGAAAACGTACCTGCTTCAACGGAAATTTCTAACTTATTAAGGCTTAAATTACTTTAAAAGGCTTAAATTTTCACTGAAAATGATCTTACCTTGTGCACAAAAACAGGGAGGCCTTGATCGGCTCCACCTTGAAGTGCGAACCCCCAAGATTTATCCGATGTGGGGCGACGAAGTTGATAAACCACAGGTTCAGTGGACATAATCCTTTACTGGTTCAACCGTTCACTAAAATTTATCTTGTCCAGGCAAAGCAAAGGCAAGAAGAGGCTAGCGATGCTGGTTAAGGTCAATGCCTACACTAAAACACCACCAGTAACGCGAGGTAGCCAATAGGAGTGCGATTGCCCTTGCACATTCGATACTATTGGCTAAGGTACCAAGTGGCTGTTTTCCCATTCGCTGAGGATACACGTACGTGCGGCACGATGTGAAACAATCGATTTATCCCCTTCCTGAATATGAACGTCCATTGCATGGGTATTTTGGTAGAAGTTAATACATGTGCAATTAGGTGAACGCACTATTTTGTGAAATGAAAGATGGAGGGCACATGAACAACTTAATAAATGGAAATTTTCAAGGACACCTTAAATAACATGTCTGAAGGATAGAAAACGCCTTTCAAGGTCTAACACTTCTTTACCGATTTAAGTACGTTATAGGGATAAGGTTCATTTAAATGTGCCACCATTAAGCTAGGTCAATTTTTTTTAAAAAATAGGTTATTATGAAATTTAACTGCATTGTAAATGAGTGAACAAGTAACATGTTGAGCAACCTTATGTAAAAAATTGAGGAATAATTAACTATCAGCTTCATATCGCCGTTTAAAAACCAGTCTGAATTCCAGTAATTAAATACAAATACAGTTCATTGAGGTTTTCACGTCTCTGACCTTATAATTTTAATACAGACAAGTTAAAGAAATCACCAAGATTGCGAGTTTGTATGGGTCTGTTAGAGATCAAAGGAGTCATGAAGAGAGCTAATAGGGACATTTGACTTGGTCACCAAGGCGGTGCCCGTAAGTCACTCAAAAAGTTGCTGGCTTTCTGCAGCCTCTTTGGCTGTCCACCCCATCAATCTAGGCCAACCGATAAGCCTCAGATATTGACTTTCACACGTGTATGATACTTGAAGTAAACTTGGACCAGATTCAAGATACGACGCATTTAATGTTGCATTTCTTTAAAGAGGGTCATAGCCTTTCATTTGAAGACATGAAAATCGATATAACCAACAATTTGATGACTTACGCTGTCGTTAGGTGGACATTTTCTGTCTAACAGCTAAGGGACTGGCTGGATACTAAAAACTTACCATGAAATCATCAGATTTCACTCTAGGTGAATTCATATTTCGAAGATATGATTGTGGGCTTTTTTAAACTGAACAAAGAATGCCTGTCTTCAATAATTTTTTGAGGAGTGATGGAAATTCCATTAGCCTTTCATGCCTTAGTGTAATGAATTTGGTTTGAGACGGATATTCAATAAGACTTTAGGATAAACGATTCCTGGAATCCGATTTTAAAAAGATTTGTTATGAGCATTTGGAGCATTCTTAAATGTTTTTTTTAATTTGTACGTTATCGAAGATGTAACAGTTTTAGGTCAGATTTTGAATCCCTAAATGAACCGAAATGATGATTGTTCAATGAACTTGAACACCACCACCATTTATTTGATCTGTTTTTTTTATTTTATAAATTTAAAAAGATTCCACGAGTTCTAGTATCTCATAGATTTCCAAACTTGAATACACAATATTTTTCTGAGTTTTGAATACAATATTCTCGAACAAAGTTTGGTTACAAATTATAAAATCTTATTATGAGGATAAAGCTCTGAGCGACTTTTATTAATAAAAATAGATCAGTTGGAAAAACTTTTACAGTTATTTGATTTTCATCATGCTAAATAATTTCTAGATATTTTAAATCAACAATAATCCTGATTTTTTTTAAACAAACAATTAATATCTATGTCGGTTTTGATTAAATGAATAAATCGAATCTTGTTTGAAAAAGTGAGATTTTAAGTGGTGGTCTATTCACCTTGAAGTATACAGCTTCTAGAAACAACTTGTTACCTATTACGGCCAGGGTTTATCGCCATCGATTGAAACGACTAAATCAGAACACAGAAGATGGGCAACAGAGCTTATTTAACAGAAATTTGAGAATTCTTCAACCCGACAACGCTGACATCACAAAGGAAGAATGACCTCCCAAAACTCAGAAATTAAATTGGAAGGTTCTACCACGTCTATCATATTCGCCAGACCTCGACCCATCCCATTATCACCTTTTCAGGTTCATGAAACATGTTCTAAGAAAAAAAATTTCAAATAGCGACTGAAGTGGAAAATCTATTGAACAGGTATTTTATTTCATAAAGAGAAGATTTCTTTCAAAGAGATTGGTCGAAAAACTTTATGAGCGACGCGAAAGAGATGCCATTGGTGGTGAAAATCACATTATTTAGTGCCATGTACCTAATTTAAAAACACTTAAAATTTAAATTTCTTCATAAAGTGCTAGTTCTTATTGGTACCGATAATATATTTACTGTTTTTTCATGATCAGAAATTTCGTGACTTTTCGCGCACTTTCTAACTTTATCGATTTCCTCTCAGTACCAAGTTATTGAGGTTAATTATTCAAAACAATAAACATTAAGAAATGTGGTTCATAGTTTTGTGTTAAAAAATAGTTTTTTTATTTATTTTAATTTGAAAAAGCAAGCTCTTTTCAAAAAGGTGGACGAAAAGCCCCAAGAGTAATAAGACAGATGATGGCCAATGCTGACGGAAATTATTTTATTCAGTAGCAAATTCACAGGTTAAAAAGAAATGACGTTTAAATTTTATTGCTAAAAAGTGCGAGTCTTTGTTTGCCCTCTAACACATTTTTATATTCGAAGGCAGTTCTAGCTAATTATACAAACCAATAAAGTTGCGTTTTATCCCTTTAAGGAAACCTTGTGCTGCGTTATGCTGGAACAACTGTTGCCAAGGCTTTTGCCAACGTGAGTCGATTTATTTGGCTGACAAAAATTGTATGCATTAACTTAGTATTACCTCTGGTATCTTCTAGGGTTTTCAATTGGGCCAAAATTATTCTTTCAATAGCTTTGGAGCTTTAAAAGTCTTAGCAACACTATTTAACATTATATTTAGTCGACGTAAGGATTCAATGATTGTCAGTAGATTACTCCAAACGATATAGCATGCCAGTGGTTACTCATTTAATGTATATATGTAATGTGCTCAAATGATGTAACCTATTCAGGTATATCGTGAAATCTCAAATAGACTTGAGCCAACTAACTATCTAGTTATCATTGATTGGTTTCAAACCAATCAAATTTGAAGCAATAGTGTCCCTAATGATATGTCCCAGATTTCAAAATAACGCAGATTTCATGCATGAAGTTGCAGCAAAACAGGTTCTAGCTAAACTGTTGTTCCTTGACATTTTCGTGAGCCCCAATACTACAAGTTAGGAAGCAGACAGAGATAGTAGTCTGCTTGTTTAATATTCATTTTGAGAAAGAAGTTTGCAACCATTGTGTCGAAATTGTGAATAATTAGCATACTAGAAAACGCAAACACAGGTGTTAGTCAACAAGAATAAATTGATAAACGAATTAATAGTCACGAAATGAATCAGAGCACTGAATTAATTAAAATTTGCAAGTGTAGGAGCCATTGTGGTTTGACCAAAAATTCATTTTATTAAAACATTATAGCGCGTTTAACGAAAATAGACTCTGTTTGCAATACACCTTCCTCTTTTCAGTCGCCAAAATGACTGGAATTCACGAGTTCGGTTTCCATTCACTTTTCTTGGACGTAAAATGTAAATTTACTTTTTACCCCCAAAGAATAATTATACCTTAAATCAAGTCTGGTTAAATCATGTGTAGTAAGCACTAATTATGTATACTAATACTTGAAATTTAATAGACGAGTCCAACAAATGATCAATTAAATGACTTATTATATACATAGATTGGGGTGCGCGATAGACTTATCTTCACGTGGAGCACTTTGGGCAACGTAAACGCATTCGGTTAAAAGGTCTAAAAACCGCTAGTTGACTACGCACCACTATGACCCAACTGTATGTCATATTCGACAATTTTCACAGCACTCATCTTACCTTTTTCTCTCCACCTTTGAGTCTGCCTCTTTTACATCTGTGAATCGCTCTTCTGTCCTCCCCCACCTGACTCTTTGTGGCTTTGACGCTCCTTCCCTCTATGAATCCCGAAGTCAACCAAATGACTAATGTTAACTATCATAAAGCCCACCATTTGCTGTAATTATTCGTAAATTTTCTGAAGGATTAGAGAAGGGTTCATAGAATAGGCTCATATTCAATAATTCGAGAATTCTACAGCAAATTATAAATCTTATAAAATCTTTCAGCTTTCCTGAGTTAATGGCTTACCTCGACTAACTTTGGAAACCCAATATGTCTATTGAGATTCAAGGCATAATAGAGTACAAAGTTATTTATGCGAAATTGAATTCTCTTCTTTATTCAAATTGAGAGCTGGAAATGGCGAAGGTTAGGATAAAAATAATGCGGAATCAAGATGTTACTTTCAAAACTTTTTTTAAAATTTGTTTCCTTTTATCTGTTTCATTTTTCCTATCGCAAATACTACTTTTGAATATAATATTTAATCATGTACCATTCTGAAATGAAGGCTAATTCATTAGCTCAGTCATTCCAAGATCTTACCGTAAATTTTATTTAAGCTTTGTAGTACCAAGGTAATCATTAGAAAAGAACTTTTTCCGTAACAGTGACCTCTAATAGTTCCATACTGCGATGGCCAATCAAGAAAATTGAATTAGCTAATTAAATTAAAATGTCCATGAAGTTCCATTCGAAAGCAATCAAGAAAACTCTGAAATGTCAAAAAATATTAACCACTTATCTCATTTACAATCTGGATGATGAGATTAGTTCAGATGGTCAGAAATCAAGGAATCAAACTCCTTCTCTATTCCTCATTTCATTACTTTTAATAAGCTTCTTAGTATTCCGCTTACAGATGCTTTCTTTTACCAACCTCATAACACCCAAATTATTTTTTTTTGAAAAAAATGCATCCAGCCGCACTCACAGCAGACTTATGCCACCGACGTGATGAGTTTTAGTGGTATCAAGCGAAGGCTACAGACA